CCTCGTCGGGCTGGCCGCATTTGAAGCCTCGGCGAAGCCGGCTTCAAAGTGGTACCCCACAGGCCTCATCAAACACCGCCCAGTATTGGGAATTTGGACTTGAAGCGTTGGAGCGGGCTTCAAACTGGCTGCATTTGAAGCCTCCGGGAAGCCGGCTTCAAAGGACTTGACTGGGGAATGCAATTGCGTTGTACAGTATTTTTCCGAATCCCTGCGGTCTCAAGCGATGTTCAGATGCTCAGGCTCAGCCGCTCAACCTTGGAACCGTCACGTTCCATTTCGCTGCACTGGTTTCAGTGCTAACACTTGTCACCCGCTGAGAACTTCGCTCGCCACAGCTTGCTCTTCCAACACGTGCTTCATGTACTCATCGCAAGGATGCGACTGACATCGGCATCATCCGGGACAAATACGTGCCTGACACGAATGAGGACTCTTGCTGCAGTGGAGATGAAGGGTTATATATCAAGGTTGGCTTTGCAGACTTCAAAAGTATGAGGTCCTCACACAAGCAGATGCTTTTGGGTGTCCCGATGTGTTGCACAAGTTGGGAAATTACGCCAGGAACCCAATGAGGATGTGACTCGAATCCTGCAAGCACTGCAGGCAGGTGCCTGAGACGAGTTAGAAAATGCAAAGTGCAGTGAGTTGACAAGGCTGTTCCCACGGAGTTAGCGTGTTCCCGCCTTGCTTGGGTCATGACCAATGGCTTTGGTGGCTGGGAGTTTGCCAGGAAGGAGCAGATGTCCAAGCTGGATGGCAAGAGCTTTCAAAGGCTTGTGTCAGCTTGGCGCTGCTTGGACAGCGAGACCTTAGGTTGTCAATTGCTTGAGTGATTGCTTGAGTCCGTGGAATGCATAGTTCTGCGACGTCCCAAAACCTGTCTTCTCAGGTTACAACTCCTTTGGACATCATAAAGAGGCTTCGCTGCTTCAATTCCGGAAATACATCTGGAATACTCTGGCATACTGGTGCAATCGACGACTGAGGGTCAGCAGTTAGAAAAAAGTTCGCCTGGCCTGCCGGAACGTGGACACGTCGGTTTGATGGCACACAGGATGGCTTGGTGCTTTACAACCGAATTTCCATGTGCGAGGAACTCAGGCTCAGCTCTACCCGGCGACCCGGTCACTGTGTGCAAACGCCGCTACAGGTGCACATTCTTGTGATCCGACTTGTTGCCATCGCCCGAGATGGTATAGAAATAGTCGAAAGTATGCTGGTCACTGAAGTCGCTGAATCTGCAAGCACGTGGAAAAGGCTGGTCCTATGGAGACGAAGATGCATTTGTACTTCGCAGCCGGCGCGGCTGGGTTTGCTTCGACACTGAGACATGGAAGAGCGCAGACCTTGGCGCAGAATGGCTTTGGACAAGGGCGACGAGCTCACGATCTCCTACCTGCAGGCAACAAGCTTGTCACATTTTGTCACGGGGTCACGCGGTCTTGAAATGCTGCCGCTTTGGGAGGACGAGGACCTCCTCAAAAGCACCGCTGTTAGACAGCAGAAGCTCCAGAATTGGCATTTGTCCCAGAATGTCATGAGACTTCTGCATGTACTCGCCAAACTTGGCAGGAGCTTTTCTCAAACAATCTTTGGGTACGGTACATGTCGTCTACTACGGATCACTGTCTGGAAAGCTGTCGAAGTCTCACGGGAGTCATGCCGGCAGAGATGTCAGCCGGAATCAAAGACCCTTGGACATGAGCATTACCAGGTTGTCATGAACGTCCAAAATTGGAACAGCAACAGTAGCATCAGTGGCACTAGCTGCGGCAACCGGCACCATCAGAAGTAGTGGCTAAGACCTTGAGTCAGCAAAGCCTGCTGCACCAGAATCACGACACCCCGAAAACGACGATACAAAACCACGCCGCAACTGAATCCACAGGCTTGTTTCTGGTTGTCTACTACACTCCGTTTTCCACCTTAGTCTAGCTTTTGAAGTTGAGGCCAGTTCACTTGCATTTTCTATTGGGTCGTGGAACAAGCAGCTACCGCAGAAGAGCTAAATCGACCACAGCACCAAACACAAAGCAATTCAGAGAAGTTGCATGTCCCTTCTTGATTTTCCTCGTGCGGATGTCTACGGATTCAACCACGGTCTGTGGTGCTTCTCGCTGCTACACATCAGGGTTGTGTCCCTCATTGCGCACGTGACAGATTTCACTCCTCTTTGCATTCCCGTGTCTGTTCGTTGAGCTAACCTCATCAACCTCATCAACGGTTCCCGCATCCCAAGCAAAGCTCGTGCAGACAAGGAAGTTTCTCTGCATGTGTCCTTGCCTCAGCTTTGCATACGTAGCGGCAGAGTCCATTATGCAATTAGCGATGAACGCAGGATCAGTTTGGCATACTCCGTAGGCCCGCGCTGCTCCCTCAAGACCGACGTGGATCTGACGACCTTGTTGGCTTTCTCAATGTCGATCCTGTGAGATCTGCTGTAGCTCTCCTGCTTGGCAGGTTGGCCGTGGCATACGTTGTCAACGTTGCCGAGTTGGGGTTCTGTACCCGCAGGCCAGCCATCTTCGTGTCTGCGGGTGTGTGGTCAGTGGGAAGTGTCGGGTAACTCCAGGTGAGGCGGTCAGTAAGATCGTGCCTTCGAAAAATGTGGGAGATGCAAGGATGTTCCTTGCCAAATACAATAAGTTCTGGAATTGACGTGGTGGGGATGCCTCAATTGTCAGACGGGCTAGCCGCTAGCACCGCGTTAGGGGGGAACTCCGCTCGGCGTGTCCCAGTGGCGGTGAGCCGGCGGCGGCCTCCAGGTGCAGGCGTCCAACACGAGCTTCGAGACCTGCAGGGTTTGTGGCAGCTCTCCTCCAGCAGAGGCCGCATGCTTTTGTCGGCTGTGGGGAAGACCTGTCAAAGTTCGGACAGGATATCTCTATGCTCCTGCACATGGAAGAAGAGCGTGGCTCTCGGTCTCGAACAGTCTTGCGAGTTTAATGGATCACCACCCCATGAGTGTGAGTTAGCTTTCGAAGTCCAGTCAGGACGAGCCAGGGCCACATGGGCTGTACACAAGATGATACTGCAATTAACAACAGGCTTGAATTAGAAGTTTGGCCTGATGGACAAGACTGGAACACCCTTCTACAGCCACACCCTGCCATCGGATTTTGTTTGATTGAGGTATGTTCAGAGAGTGGACTGTTTGGACAAGAAAGACCTGGAAGACGTGCAGCAAGTATACCAGGCAGCATGCTGGAACCGGCCTGAGCGTATGAACATAAAATCACAACAGTGAAAGGCTGCTCTCGACATCTTTGAGAACCATTGGATTCTCTATGACTGGACCTGAACTGCATGACTGACAGTTCTGAGCAGCGTGAGCCTACCATCATTCCAATGATCTGCAGAGGTGATGGATACCATCCTTTGGGAAGGCCACCGCCAAAAGAATGTCATGGATGCCATGGAACATCAGTTAGGCTCCTGGTCCGTCTCCACACTTCCTTTCTTTATCCATCGGCAATTGAGGCGCCGCCGGATTGACTTCCACCAGCACTACTACTTCAGGCGTGAGAAACATCAGATGTGAGACCGCTTCCCGCTTCGGATTCGGAAGGCCGACCTTCATTCTGGCATGGTGCCATGAGGTCGCACTTCGCTCAATGCCTTGAGTCTTTCGTTTGCCGTGCCTTTGTCGGCCGCAGGAGCTGGGTGATTGCATGATTGCGCAGTTCCCGGCACGAAAATGGCACATCACGCAGGAGCTCCTGCAACCTCAAACATAATAATACGTGCCCACCCACATTGCCGCGGACATCAGCAGCGAGATGCCCGGCGTCGCTGGGTCGTCCCGGCGTCCCGTCCCCGCGTCCTTGGCGTCCGCGGCGTCCGTGTTTCCGGCTGGGGTGAGTCCCTGGCCATGCTACTGTCTTCCGGATGCATGCATGCACGCATGCATGCATGTATGTATGTACGTACATATACATTGGTGTATATATATATATGTATCTATTACATTACATTACATTACATTACGTTGCATTGCATTACAAGACACATTGCATTACATTACATTACCTTACATTGCCTTACATTACCCTACATTGCATTGCATTGCGTTGCACTGCATTGCATTGCATACATTACATGACATTACAGTACACACAGATGAATACATAGATACAGATAAGCTTTGCCGCATCTATACCTTACACATGTATAGATGTATAAAATATACATACTTGTAAAGAGCATGAAAACAGTGCATTTTGTTATGTTTACGTGTGTGTATACATATATATATATATAGAAGGTGTACATACTCGTAAAGACCAACCAAGCAGTGCATTTTGCTATGTGTACGTGTACAAATATCTATGAGCCCGATACCTTTAGGGTCTAACTAACCACGGTTTTATATTTACACTACTAAATGCCTAGCTAAATAAAATATGGCCCAGATGAACCAGCTGTGCCAACCTTGCTCCAACCCTTACGACTAAAAGGCCGAGCTCCACATGGCGCCCCAGACAACCAGCGACACGACACCCTTTGAGACTTTCTACAACATCGTCAGGCCCTCCTTAGTCCTTCCACAAGGACTTTGACGAGGAGGATTGGATGGGAGTCTTCAAGCTCTCTGTGATGGTGGTCTTCACTGATGGGGGCATCTACGCTCGCTTGCCGGGTACGAAACGTGATCCGGTCAAGTGGGCCTGGCCCGACAGAGGTTTTGCCCAGCAAGGCCCACGCTGCATGCCTACAAAGAAGGCAACCTGCAGCACCTCCCGACACAGCATGCGGGACGACATGCTATGGAGCTAGAATTAGAACCTCCTTCAGGCGGCGTTAGACTCAGAAGATATTCCGTTGTGCTCGACCATGAGAAGCCGAACAGTCGCCACTGGCCGAAAGTTTCTCAATGAGGTCCGTCCTGATTTGGCTGGGATTTCTGGCGCTAGAACTCACTATTTCGAGGATGGGTGTGATGCCAAGGAAGATCAGCCAGTGCCCAAGTGGTTCAAGTCTGTGAAATTGTCCAGGATTTGCTCTGACCTTCAGAAGGCCCAGCAACAAACACCACAACAACAAATGCTTCGACCTCTACCAATGCCAAGCCCGAGACAAAGACAAAGCAAGCGCCCACCGATGCTGCAAAGACCGAGGATGGATTCGTTCCAGCGGGAGAAGCGTCCCACTTTTCAGCTCAAAAGTCTGGACTCGAGGCCCCACTTAGGCTCCAAAGCCTGGGTTTGAGGCCCCAGAACCCCCCTATTTCGGTGAAAGTCCGGGTTTTAGACCTCAAACCCCCATTTCGACTCAAAAGTCCGGGCTTGAGGTCCTAAACCACCTTTTCGACTCGAAAGTATGCGTTTGAGACTTTTTGAAGGTAAAATCCTACATAAAGTAATTGAGTAAAGAGTGACTACTTAGACTTACGCTCATGCTCAAGCCATTTTGTGTTTTATTTGTCACCCTTTTTGTGTCTCAGGTGCCTGTGAAGAAAGAACAGACTGACACAGAGGACAAGGCAACTGTTTTCAAACAGAAGCTCGGCAACCGCACCTTGCACATCAACATCTCCAGCTCATCCGAGAAGGAACAAACAATGGAAAAACACGCGCATCAGTGTTAAAGACGAGCAGGCCGCTCCCCATGCAAACGCATCTGTCGAGGTGCGCATCCCCCAGTGAAAGCTCCAACGGCGATCAGATAGATGTTGCTTCCAACGATTCTTCCCAGTCCCGATCCGATGAAACATTTCCCAGACGAAGGTGATCTCCTCTCATGAACCTGTCTCAAGAACTGGAGAAACACATCGACGACATGCTGTCTGAGTGAGTCTGTCAGTATGTCAAGGTTGCTTTCGCGCCTCCAAATGAGTGCAAATGAAGGGATAGGCTTGTAGCATGCGCCAAAATCTTGACTCGCAAGATCTAGACAGCAACCGTTTCGCTTACAGACGCAGACCGCACACCCTAGGCAGACTCAAATGTGCATGCTCGTGCGAAACCTATCACATCAACAAGTCTTAACTTGTCTACCATGTCTTTCAATGTCTTGATGTGCAGTTCTTGTCTCAAGGACCCTAGAACCATGCAGGGGCTTCTTCGAAGGCACTCGAGCCATTATGCCCGAGGCGGTCATGAAAGCTATGAAGGCAAAGGCTCCCTTTCCAGCTCCCAAACGGGGGAGGCACCGTGTGCAGAGGCGCTTGCAACCAAAAATGATGTGCCTGTGCCCTATGTTCGCCATGGCATCTTGTTTGCCAAAAACAGAGGACACCGCGAGCGATGGGGACAGTCAATACAAAACCTCACGTCCTTGAAAGGCCGCCGGCTAATCGAACATCTTCAGAAAGACAGGATTTTGGGGAGGGTCACCAATGCGCTCCCGGTGGCACGGGCACTATAGGAGCTCTCAAGCATGTCAAGGTCAAGAAGGTGTGGGCTTACCGATGCAACTACGATCCGTGGCATAAGTTCCTTCAGCCGCACGACTGCCACATTTACGACAATTTGGATGTGACGCGAGCGAACTATGTCGTCCAGAGAGAGGAACAGACACATACCGTGGGAACTGGGAGGACGTAGAGGTAGACGAAGTCGACATCGGGAAACTCACAGATGAGTCCTTACAGGGACCCTGCAACCCTAAATGGGAACAGTGGAGTGGACTCGTTCAAACAGGCAAACCGTCGTCGTTGCAGCTGTTTCGCTTGAACCCGAAGGTCGGCGCCGGGCCCAGGCCCGATCAAGAATCGCAAGGTGGTCGTGCACAGTGATGGTGCCCGCACGTGCACTCTCCAGCTCGCACAGGTCAAGCATTGCAATGTCGACCGCAAAAAGAAAAAGACCGTAATCAACGGCAAGGCCCGATGTTGAAATTTCATTTTTCTTCAGAAATGTTCTTCCATGTGTCCTGTGGTCGTTTGTCGGTCAGGCACAGTGGGTGAAGCCGCACTACACAATGGTTTTCACCCGCAAGCTTCCCGGATGGCAAGGTGCTAAAGGTCAAGAGCCGCACGCAGGTCATCGACCGCTTCTGGGGAACTTTGCGATCACACTTGAAGAACTCCTCCAGAATCCCAGGTATCCAGCTTCTAGCCCGCATGGTGCGAGCAGCCCAATTCATCTATTGGAACCGCAGTTCCAACATGTGGAGAACCACTAGCAGAATGCTGCACTGTCTCTTTCAGACTAGCTGAAATCACATGCATGCTCCGCACGATCTCGACCAGCCATGGGCACAAAATCTTGCATCTAGAGCTTGCATTCTGACGAGCGCCGTTACGACCATTGTTTGTATTCGGCAGCCTTACAGCTTCGAGCCTCCTGCAGCTCTGTCCTGCAGTTACCGAACTGTCCCTATTACTTTGCTGTGGGTACCAATAAAGTGCTGTACTGTCCCGAATTAAACTTAATGATCCAATTCTCCAGGACTATGGGGGCTCCCAGGGCCGGTTTCCCAGAATTGGTTTTTTAGGTTTTTAGGGGGTACCGGGACCAGAAAAATGGGGACAGTACAAGCACTTTTGCAGTCTCCCCCTGCAACAATGCTGAACTGTCCCTATTTTGTAGCTCAGGCAGGGCCAAAAAATAGGGACAGTGAAGCACTTTTGCAGTTTCCCCCTGCAACAATGCTGAACTGTCCCTATCTTGTAGCTCAGGCAGGGCCAAAAACACAGGGACAGTACAACACTTTTGCAGTTGCCCCCTGCGAAAATGCTGAACTGTCCCTATTATTTTGGTGTGGGCACCAATAAAGTGCTGTACTGTCCCTAAACATAAAAAACAATTGTCCCATGTGAACACTTGATAGGTGCCGTGCTCGACCTTCTGAGAACACTGTCTACATCTTTTGAACTTATTCGTCCCGTCATCTATAAATCCACAAATCTACTACCAGATTCAGGTAATGGATTTTGGGGACCCACAAAAATGCATTTTACACGGCCAAGCAGGATGAACGAGTAGGAAATAGGAAAATCTCGGTAGTTGCAGTGTTTTCTGTATTCTGAACGATCAAGAATGTTTGGGGTGTGTTATCTGAAACCAAGCTGAACAGCCGAGTACGGATCTGGGGGCGGGTGACCATGTATATGTACATGCATATGTACATGTATGTGTACATGTATTTGCAAATGTACATGTATATGTAGATGTCTATGTAGATGTACATGTTGATGTCTATGTACATGTAGATGTACATGTTGATGTAGATGTACATGTAGATGTACATGTAGATGTACATGTAGATGTACATGTAGATGTACATGTAGATGTACATGTAGATGTACATGTAGATGTATATGTACATGTATATGTAGCTGTATATGTACATGTATATGTACATATATGTGTATGTGTATACGTATACTTATATGTATATGTATATGTATATGTAGATGTAGATGTAGATGTAGATGTAGATGTAGATGTGTATGTGTATGTGTATGTATATGTACAGGTATATGGACATGTATTTGTAAATGTACATGTGTATGTAGATGTCTATGTAGATGTTTATGTACATGTAGATGTACATGTAGATGTCTATGTAACTGTAGATTTACGTGTAGATGTACATGTACATGTATATGTACACGCATAGGCATCTTTGTATGTGTGCCATATATGCATACAAAACTCAATGGTTCTGCATATGCATATGAAGTTTACTGTGTGTTGCCTGTGTGGTACACCCCAACTGAAACCCAGAGGCCCAACCTAAACCTCATAAGCCCTAAACTTCCTAAACCTAAGACCTAAACCCCACAAGTCCTAAGCTTCTTAAACTTGTAATACCCTGAACCTCAAAGATTTTGCCTGATTCCCTTGAATTTTGGAGATCCAAGGTTGCGGGCTTGCTCGCAGTCTCGCAGCCCCGCTCCGGGCGAGCTGCTCTCCAGCAGAACCAAAGGCCCCTCTCTCAGCTGCAACTCCCGGGTTCATGAAAACCCATGGAAGCCCAATTTTAAGCTCCATCCCAACCACAGATTCTGCGAGTTAGCCTGTGAAAGCCGTCCGTTAAACACGTCGAGTTGCGAGGCCTGGACGTGGCGAATGGCCACATCCAGAGCACTTCTGGGCCGTCTCAGTCGCTCCCAAGCGAGGCAAGGCTGGCCCATGTGCCTTTGAGGCATGTTCCAAGTCATCAGGGTTTAAGGTTTAGGGTTTTGATTAGTTGCAACCTGCGGTTCTTGCCACAAGGTCGTCATAATTAGTGAAATAGTTGGTGGACTCCTCGAGCGCTAGAAGCCATGCTCCATGTTCCTCGTTCGCGCCTAACGCTAGAGCGTTTCGGGCCACCCTGATAATGCAGTTCCACCTTGGAGTCTCCACACTGAGTCTCCTCCCAGTCTCATGAACCATCTTCGTGACCGCTGAAGGATGCCACAAGAAGGACAAGAACGGCAACATACTACCACCACAATACTGTGATAGTCACCAGTCGGGATAGCAATGTTTATGAAAATTCCCAATTCTCTAGACTGAACACAACAGCACCGTGTGTCGCATGCATGTTTAGCAATCGGCTGTCTTACGTGCCTACCAAGGAACCCTAAACCCTAAACCCAACGCTTTTCGGGCGCTCTAACGGGATAGGCAGGCGGAAAAGCCTACACCCTAAACCCCCACCCCCAAAAAGAACAAGGAACCCGAGAAGTCCTCACCTGGTGCGCGGCCGAGCGAGGAGGACACCTCCGGGGGCTTTGCCCTTTCAGAGCTGGGGCTTTCGGCTTTGGGTGTTTGGGTGCTTGGGAGTTAGGGTTTACAGGGTTTATAGGGTTTGGGAGTTTACCTTTGGGGTTTAAGTTGAACTTTGCGTGGACATGTATGGTGGAATTCTGACGGGTTTCGGGCTTGGGGTGGCAGGTGCAAGGGCGCTGGGAAGGATTTTGCTGAACTGCAGAAGGTTGTCTCGTTGTGGGACCGAGTAAGGCAGTGTTCGTAGGGCTGCAAGAGTTGCCTTTTTCAGGTTTTGTTTTGTCCTAGCCTGCCCCATGCCGCATCTGCCTCCTGAATCTCCTCTTCAATTCACTTGTGTCTTTAACGGCTTGGAACAATTTCGAGCACTGGTCAAGCAAGCATGAATGTGAGACCAGCTTGTGATGGACCCGAAAGATTCGGATCCTGGCCCCACCGCACTTGAATTCTAGAATGGCAGCTGAACAAAGCCCCTCGGCTGCCGCAGAAGCCAAGATTTGCAAGCCATCCACCATGTTCAGATCTGTCCAATAGGATACCCGAGCATGAGTTGTCAAGACTAGTTTTCAGTGGCAGCGGGGCCGTCCCCCGGAAGTAGCACTTCCCGAGGCCTTGGAGGCCCAAAGAACATAATCCGGGCCAAGGAACTTGAGATGTTTTGCGCAGATCCGCGTTTTTCCATGGAGAGGGTATCTTGATGTCCTCATGAGTCTTGTGAAATGCAACAACCATGCAGGCAGACGCCTGAACATTCTAGAAGCATGAAGCCCCCTTGATAATTTGGATTTCCCCATTCTATCGAACGCCCTGCCAGGATGTGGGCGAGCTGCCCTGGTTGCTCGGACACAGCTGAGAACCCGAAGACATGAAGAAAGTAGATTGAACCCACAATCTCAAGCTATAGTGTGCTTCTTTTAATAACAGGCATGGAATCGTGGGAGCCGAAAGATCGTCGTCATCAGAAGCCTGTCAGTCTTCCAGCAACCCATGCTTTTCCACTGTGTTGTTCTAAAATAGGCAACGCTTTGTCGCATATTTTGCAAGTTTTTTGTTTACTATCACAGGCTGCGGACGTATGAACGGCAGCTTAGTAGGCATGCATGCATTTAGGCATGTATGTATGTATGTATGTATGTATGTATGTTTGTAAGCCTGCGCGTAATTAAAGTGCAGGCATTGGGCACCCATTCTTTTCGAGTATGAACACGCAATCCAGGCATGGATGATCGACGAGGAAAGTGTGACTTAAACTTCAATTCTCAGGTTTCAAGCCATGAAGGCCAACCTTGAGGCCCCTGCTTTGGCGCAGTTGTTCCCTTATAGAGGGGGTTCAGATCAGTCAGATAGGCGTTCTTGTTCCGGGGTCTATTTCGGGGGGTTTCGGAGTTACGTAGTTCTCTAGGCTGATACTGCGGACTCTCGTTTGGAAGAAGCCGCTCAACTAACCTGAAGTTTACTCCCTTCTTGAGGCACAGCCATGTTTGAAGGCGACCGAAGTAAACAGACTTCCACGGACTCACAAGGGCTTGCTGCTCCACTTTTGCATGCACGCTAACCGTGCACGCAGTTCGGGGTCGCGCATGAATTGGACGCCTGTACCTTATTATACAGATGCGAGGGAGTTGCTGCTAGATGTCCGTTGCAGGAATTTGGGGACGTGGAGGTTTTCTTGGACCAGACGCCGCAGGCCTTGGAAGTGTTCCTGAAGTCGCTCCAGATTCTGGCATTGTGTGCTCAATGTGAGATGCAGCGAGGAGTGCATGCTGTGCGGTCAGCCGATAGAAGCCGCTTATCGCGTGCGGCCTCGGAAGTGTGGCCACGCGCCTTGGCTAGGCTAGATGGGGAAGGGGCTTCCTCGGATTTCGACGATGAAAATGAGGTGATACCGACTCAAATAGTTGCTTCATATGCTCATACAAACTGCACTGGGAAAGGTATACTCAAAATCGGCGGCAGACACATTGTGGCTTAATATTTCTGGGCCGTTGAAGGCGACTGGTTCGCCGTGGGACTGTGCATGATAGCTAACCAACTCTTGCCTTTTACAAAAAGAATAAACTCGGGTAGTATCTGCACAGCTGATTCGAAGTAGTTTTCATGATCATGCATTCCTATAGTGGATGCGACTCACATGGTGCTCATTCTTTCTCTGGGACGTGAGATGGAGCCTTGGCCTTGGAAACTTGACCTCTTCAAAGGATTTGCGAGTGCAAGTCGACTTCATCGCAGCATCTCAGAAGATTCATCTTTCGGTGTCCTCGTTTCCCTGACTCCAAGTGCAGATGGCCATCGCTTGGATCTCGGGCCTTTCGGGGAGAACTATTGTATCCGGTTGGCCAGTCACTGAAACCCATTGGCGCATCTCCTTGCACGTTTGAAGAACCTCAAAGGGCTTCAACGATCCTCGCCCAGGTATTCCACGTGGAGTGTTTGCTCCACTGCTGGAGCGAAGGTGCGTGCCCCGTTTGCGGCGTGTCCTTCGCCCCCGAGGCGCCTTTATACGGCATCCTGTTTGTCCGTGGTGGTCTCTGGATTTCTTCAGCTAAGGTCCCAGGGACGGGGATTTTGACAAGGGCTCGGGGTTTCAAGTTCCCCTACCAGCTTAAGTCAGGGATGCGAGTTTGGATTTGTTCGACCCCAGTAATTGGCAGATCCGGGCTTTGTCTGCCAAATCTGGCCCGGGACTTGCATTTTCTCGCCACCAGTCTGAGCCTTGCGGAGGGCTTCGAGGTTGAAGATTTTTTCAGAGGGTTAGGACCAGGACATTGTAGTTCCTGTTGCATCAAGGTGAAACTTGTCGAAGCACCTGGCACGGGCCCAATCTTCGGCTAGTTCGGAGCTCTTGTTCGTTATCACCCATGTTATCAATTCTATTACCACAGATTCAGTGTTTTTGTGTTGTACGCCTGGTGTGAGATACCAACTGTCAGCTGTCTGCAGTAAGCAGCAAAAAGCCCACCGAAAAACAGACCTTGCATAATCTGGGGCACCGCCAGAACTTATAATAACCCTCCAAAGAATTCAAGCCGATTCGCAGAGGCCGCAGTTGGCTCGCCTCCGAAGACAGCCTGGACATGAGAAGCCGCGAAGAAAACAAGTCACAGCAGTTCCTGTCGGAGTGCTGGGCTTGAGAGCCTACACTGGATTCCAGGTCGAGGGATCTATACGGGTCAGGTTGGAAATGTTGCATCGAGACCGAGAGTTCACTTTGTAGGGACACGTGACATTGTTTGGCGTCGTGTTGCACTTTGGGGCTGTTTAAATCTCGTCACTGGTTTTCAGGAATCCCAACACCCGCATTTCTCCTGTTGTATGGCTTCATGTCTTTGGCGGATGCGGGATTTCACACCCTGAGGCAATCTGAGGCAACTGATCCCAACTCTTCTCCCCGTTGTGTTCACGAGAGGTACAAGCTCGAGGTCTGCCCAGAGGCAGCTGCCGCGCTGGAAAGTATGGGGCAGTTTCGGCCTCAGGCATATCAAGATCTTTTTGTCCCGGTAATTGGTGCGCTGGTAGTTGGCTGCTCTTTTGCCAGCAAGCTCATGGTTTCGGCTTTAGGCTTCGGCACTCTCATCTTCCGGAGTCGGGGTTCGGAGGCTACAGGCAGTGGGTTGACAGCTGCAGGCTCGAAATTGGAGCGGTCAGAATGAAGCGGTCATGTGTGCAGCAATGCGTGCACGAACGTAGAAGATAAAAAAAGGTCGCGTCCATGGCGCATGTGATAATGTTTGTCTTGTTGTATAAGTGGTCACTGCGTACTCTTAAGGCAGAATTCCAATGTCACTGTGCCTCAAGCCGAAAGCCCTCAGGCGTGGTGTCGTCGTGTGGATCCCAGCATTGCAATGGTGCTGCAGTAAAGGCTCGGATTCCCTCATTGCCAACCTAGAGCACGCTCTGTTCGATTCGGGTTTTTGGGGAGAGCTACATGATAGGATAGATTATTTAGTTTAGTGTAGTTGTAGTATATTACAGTATATCATATTACGGACATTAGCATGATGTATTCGGGGTTTCTAGGGAGAACGTGAAGAGGCTTTGGCACCACAAGGTCAAGTCGCTTGAGTCAACACACAAACTCTTTGCCTAAGGCCATTGCCCTGTGCGGGACCTGCCAGAGTGGAAAGACATATCTGCCCGATGCTGAGCTCTCTTGCTGAAGCTCCTGGTAATTTGAATCACTTTGTAGCCTTTTCCGTGTCACGGGTTGTGGTGTTGTGTGTGTGTGCTTGGTTCAGAACTGTCTGGAATGGCACTGGAATGGTACCGGCCTGTGAAAGGGAAGCCCCGAATCACGGGCCAAGGGCGAACCATCTCCTTGATCGTCCGCAGCAGGGTCTTCCTGCCGATGCCTGAGACTGTCCAGTGGTCTGCATGTGAAGCAGTTTCCGGAAACGGGGTACCCTCACTGTAGCTCGAGATGTAGGGCCGTTTACATCAGGTGGGGGCCCCTAATTCTCGGAACGTCTTGTAGCATGTCCAGAAACCCGCTTGCAGGAATTCGTAGTACGTCCATGACACATGAGAAGTCTACCACGGCCCCCCTGTCTGTTCCCTGAGGTGCTGCAAGTCGGTGGAAGCCTCTGGTCTACAACAAGGACGGAAGGCCAAAGCCCGCTTTCACAATTTCTTGCAGCCTGGCCCCTGCCACGGAAACCGACCTGAGCCCAGCAACCCAATCTCCATCCCGGTAGCAGGTGTCTGGCTGTGGGCCGGGGGGGCAGACAAAGACGAGAGGCCCGATTGCGCATCGGAAGTAGCAGGTAGCAATTATATACCTCTGACTGACACAACCGAGTTGAGACACTTGAGGTGACTACTTGCCAGGGGCTATTTGAAATGAGGATCCTTATTGTGCAGTTCTATTCTGAAGTTTCATGTTTTCTGCAACTCTCGCGTGCTTGCCACGAGGGTTCGCCAATCTTGGACCACGACAGCCCAGTGCTGTTTTGCAGAGCCGTTGAAACATGACATTAAAGAGCCATACGGTGCTCCAGCGCACCTGGATCCCTCCACCGTTATCTCCGGAGATGCACGCGAGAACCACAGGCCCAAAGCTCCAAATCAAGTTCTCAGCCCTCAATCCTACATGACGCCACTGAACCAGCCTCCTCAAACCCCACAGCCCTGCATCTGCGATCCTGTTTGGCCAAGTACCCCAGCCATTTTTCAGGAGCCCTGTCATCCTCCTCCTGGACTGCGAGGCTTTTTTTGTTTAGCCGATTTCTTGTAGGAATGGGCCTTCAGATGCCCAGTGTCCTATGGTTCTAGGTATGGCTGCCTTTGGCGACACGCTGGAACTAACCCGTTCTGCATCTTTAACAAAGGTGTTGGGTTCGGGGGCCCGTACGGAGTAGATGCCGCAGGACTCAGCCCGTTGTCGAGTTTGAGGTATGAGGAACTTTGGGAGCCGTCCCATGTACCGGTGACGATACTTAGCAGTATATCACAGGCATGAAGCCTGATGAGTGCAGTCTTCTACCGCCACTTCTACCGAAAGCTCACAGAAAATGGCCCAGCCAAAGGCCCGAGTTTCAAAAGCATCCCCTCATCTTGGTTCCCGAGGAAGGTCCTCTCCTATTTGTGTTGGTTTACCATCTTCAACCTGGGGTGTGTTGCAACTACTCCTGGGTTTTCTTTTGTCGGGTACTATTCCCAGAACCATTCATTGAACTATTCACAAGGGCCTTAAAACGGGACCATGACTTAGGAAAGTCCCCTCAGACGCTTACCATGCATAGGCATAGTAACCCCATCAAGAATGTGGGCTGCCAGGGCTTTGGTGGATCCGGAGCTTCTGTTTCCGACAACAGCTGCCGCACTCCTGGCCGACATGCTGCCCAGGTTTAGGGTGACTAGGGTTATAGCAGCGTATAGCGTGTAGGGGCTTAGGGTCTAGAGTTTAGTTGTGGTGTTTCAGGCTGTGCAAGAACCCATGGTCCGGCCCCTGACAAAACTTGCACGGCCGGTGGATCAGAGTCAGCTCTCCTTCAACAGGCCGAAGCCCCGAAGCCACCAAGACACGCAACCGTCAACTCATCCCTCAGCCCTGAAGCCTAGGGAGACCCCTTAAAGCGGACCCTTCTGAACTCTACTTTATGGCTTTCCAAAACGGGGGACGACCTTGAGGGCGAGTAGCGCTCTAAACCCGCCTGATTCTTCCAGGTCACGGTGCCTCCCGTGACATGCAGCTGTTGGCGCTGTGCTGGTTGCTTCGCGCCTGCATGAGCGAACCGTAACATACCGTAACGCCGTAATAGGGGGCCTAAGTAATTGCCAATACTAGTGTTTTTTTGTTTTTGAGGGGTGGTGCTTCTTCTTCTTATCAGTATTATTCTCATTATTATATAAATATATAGAGTACTGTATACCCCAAAGCCTTGCTTTAATAATTAAGGCCCGTAATTTGGAGGTCCTGGGTTTATGCTTCGACTTGTCCCTTCGGAGCGCTCCCATCCTAGTGAAGTCGATAGTTTTGGCAGGGCGCATGTCTGCAAATTTCCCTACTAAAGGGTTTAGGGTTTTAGGGTTTAGGGTTTACGGTTTTAGGGTTTAGGGTTTCTAGGCCTTAAACTACCATGCCCTAAACCCCAGGGTTAGAAGTGAATTTGTGGTGGCATTTGGTGTACCTGTGCCCTGCACCTCCACGCGTCCACGAGGAAGCTCTGCCACTGACACTCCTGGAAACAAGCTTAGTAAACACTAATAATAATGACAGTAATAATGATAGTAGTATCGTAACAATAGTATTAATAATGATAGTAGTAGTAAGAATGCTAGTAATAATAATAACAATAGTAGTAACAATAATAATAATAATAACAAAAAGTAGTAGTAATAGAAGTACTGCCAGCAGTAATGCGCATGAGCCAGAAAGTCAACAGTGTAGCAGTGAACACATCACCAACAACCAACATTTTCCATTCAAGTACAAAGGAAGCTGAGAACGGCCTTGACTGTTGTACTACAACCAGCAGCAGCCTGTGACACAACTTGGAGTCTGTGTGTGCAGTATCAGAAGGTGCCGAGGAATTTGAACGCGGTCTTGCAACAGACTTCAAGTGAGTGAACATCTGAAGCATGAGAGATGCACCGGCATTCCAGGCTGTCCTCTGCAATCGCGCGCGACCCAGCTCCACCTCTGGGAATGGTGTGTCAATGCCCTGTCTTCGGCCAAGCTGGTTAAAGCAATTTCTCAGGCTTTGACTGACTCCAAGCACAAAAAATAGACTATAATTAGCGGAAATCGTCAATCTGCATGCAATCGCGAGTCACGTCCGAGCATGTCTCAGGTCATGAACACCTCTGGCACCTTGGACGAGGCAGTGGGGGAATCTCCGAGAGACTGACAGTCAAGCAGCTCTTTCATATCTTTCACGGCACTCGCAGAATTCGGAGAGCTGGCAGTTCCCAACATGCAGCCTGCCGTTTCTCCAGACCGTCCCACAAGTTTGACTGGTCTGCGGTCTTTGCTCTCAGCAGCTGTCGTGGCCACAGCTCGGCTTAAGGCTTAGGTGGGCCTCTTCAAGGTCCAGGGTCAAAGAGACTTCGAGCACAGGTTCCCGGGTTTTGGGGCATTGCGGTTGGCCAGGCTTCTCGTTCCTGGACTCTGCTCACATTGCTCACATTTCCAAATCACACAATCTTTACAGTGCAATGTCCAGAATCCTCCCAACATCCAGCCGAATCTTCCAAGAGGTTGGACTGTCAGAGACTTTTCACAAGAGCCCAGCCCTACAGACCCCCAAAACCTACACCTCGAACTTTCGACCCGACACGATTGTGTAAATCCACAATAACCGAGCCTTGAAGGCAACCTTTGACCAGCTGAAGTCAGCAAGCCACTTCAGCGACATCGTCGAGGAGAGGGGGACTGAAGCCCCCTGGCCCTGACCTGTTTGGGGATTTGGGGGGTGTTTCTGCGATTTGGGGCTGAGGGGGTTTAGGGGGTTTAGGGTTTAGGGTGGGTGAAGAGGCTCGACTGTTGCAGTCAGTTGCATGTGCGCACATTCGCCCAAGTATGAGGCATCACTCAGCCCTTTCCAGCACGATCCTTCGCTTTGCAAAGGCCTATGGGAAAC